CCTTTAGCAAGGAAGGGGGGAAGGGGGTAGCTTCAAGCTGGGGCCCCCCTTTTAGTCTATCGGGCCCCGCGCGCGCGCTCTATCACATATGATGACGAAGAGGTATTCCTCAAGGGGGAATGTCCTCACGCCAGCGCCGATCAATTCCTGAGCCGAGATGGCGATAGGTGAGGGAAGGAGACGGGGGGCCGAGTTTTCATCATCCTGGGCGTTTCTCTCAACAATCACACCCAATAGTGGTGACGATCGTACGCGGGGGAAGGGGCCTGGACCCGCCCACATATTGGTGCTCGCGTGCGTACCATTGCGACCGCACCGCGCCCCTGGCCCGACGTGCCCCACACCCCGCCAAAGCGTTGCAATTACCCGCCCCCCCTCTCGGGTAACGACGATTGCCGGAAACAGTAGAAACAATCTAGATCCGAGCGCCACAGAGTGGGCGCCAAAGGATAAAAAGCAATCTGCTCGTGGGCGCCCACCAGTGGTCCGCCGACAGCGCCGCTCCCTCGGCGGTGGGCGGGGGGGGGGGGGCTGCCCGGCTCCGACGCCCCTTCCGAGAGACAATTAGTCGCTGGCGGCGTTTCGCTCGAAAGGGTTGACAACAGAACAGAAGAGCCCCGGGGACGGGGAACCCTAGACCGCCTGTTCAAGGAACCGTTTCGCTTGAGCCTTCCTCACAATTGGTGCAAGAATCGAGCTTTCGCTTCAATGCCGGCTACATTCTAAATCCTGGCGGCCACGATCCGTGATCAAAGACGCACTGGTCTGCACATGGTACAAACACATGAAACAGATATTTGGAGAGTCCCACGAAGGAGACGGGGAACGTGACCGTCCTGCCCCGCCAGCGGTGCGGCAGCTGTTTCGCATGAGCCTTCCTCACAATTTACTGTGGATCGCCATGGCGATATGAATGTATACGTGTCCATTAAACTTTGGTTGACAAAATGGATAAGAGATGGCCCGGCCGGCCGGGGGAATGGCGCCGGGGGGGGGCGCGCGCGCGGCGGGCGGAGCACTGTCCTTTTTGCTGCTTCAGCCAACACGCAGATGCGGTCACATAGCAGCGCGTTGGAAGTGGGCACGGGGGAATGACTAAATCAATTCCCCCCGCGGCCGGCCTGGCGAACTGCACTCGCGCGGGCGGGCGAACCTGATTCAAGTATCGCCCCTAATTGTATATAAGCGTCTTGACACGCAGCGCCTGGCAGACAACGCCCCCGCTGTCTGGCTCGCCGTGCAAAAGACGCGGGTGCACAACACCCTTGTGATACGGCGACTCATTGATCCCTACTGGACGTCATTGATCCGCGACCATCAGTCTCGATGGGGCACTGTCGGCATAGCCGTGTTCCCCCCTCGTTCTCTTCCTTACACCCCCAACTGTGATTATCAGGGCCCCAGCTGTCATTGTACCAGCTGTCCGAGCTCTATGTCCACGACGACCACCAGTTCGTGGCACCTCCCTGCCATGGGGTGGAGGAATCCGTAGTCTGCTGCTCCGCGCCGGCGCACGCGCGCCATGGACGAGGCGCCCTGCCCTCATCCGCCCTCCGCCGCGCGGCATCTGCCTCAGCGCGCCACGGAGCATCTGGAGACCGAAGGTCACGAGCCGAAGGAGGCGACGCACCAAGCGTGGAACTCGAAGAAGCGGCCCCCGCAATGCAGGGCGTGTCCCACTGCGTTGGGTTCTCAGCTCGGCGCCGCCTGGACTCCTGTTGATCATGTGGCGCTCGACTGCTAAGCCTCTTTGATCCCTTTCCGCTGCTCTCTTTGTCCTTTCCCTTGCCCGCGACGTCGTCCGCCGCCCTCGCTGCCGGAGAGTGGCGCTCAGGCTTAGCAGAGCGCGGCCTCTTCGCACCCTTGGCATATGGCTCGCGAAAAGATGCAGCGGCTCCGGCATAGTCGGCTGGCGCGTCTGCGCCCTTTGCACGTGCCTTAGGCATAGGAGCCTTTCGGAACTCTGCCTGGGGCCACAAGTCCGCAATCTCCGCCTCCGTGGCCGCCTTCTGACTGGTGAGCGGTTCGACTTCGCTTGCTCCTGGAGCCGTCGCACACCATGTGGGCCATCCACCGATCGGTTCGTCATTGTGGCACTCAGCTGGACGGGTAGTCCCAGTCGAAGGGGTTCATTATGGCATAGCCATCCTCACTCATCACCCTCCAGCTGATGTGCGGCCATCAATCCTTCGGGTACAGTACCGTGTCCTTCCCTGTCGCAGGTGTCCTGAGGTGGTTGTTCTGGAACGCGATCCACCTCCGAGCCAAGTCCTCGTCGTTTCGTGCTTGTAAAAGTTCTGCGGCGCAGGGGGCTCGTCGTCAGGGGACGTACGTAAGCGGGCAAAGACTGTCATGATGTTGCTATGAAAAGCAGTCCTGCCATGTGTCGCGTTGTCTCTGCGGATAGTTATTCCCGCAGCTTCAGCGTCTTTCCACTTCTTATGCGTCCGTGCTTGCACGCGATCGGTGTCAGCCCCCGTCCATATCTTCGCCCCTGGGTCGCGGACATAATCCAAGCGAGCCCTCTTGTGTAGACCGATATCACTGTAGACGATCTTCGGCTTGATTGCACCCGGTGTCGGTAATGCGGATTGGTAGTGCACGGTGGCCCTGCACGCGAAGCATGTCAACGTTCCGATCCGATTGCGGCAATCGCTGCTGCGCAGAAGGTAACTTTCGTCCCATAAGCTGGTTGCGCACAGCGCGTCCATGTTCTCCGTGGAAGCGAGCTCATCACCAGTGTCCACGTTGGGCATGCGATACGGCTCGTGCTGTTGCTCAACCCAATCGACGCAGGCCGTGCAAAGTCGGGGTAGACCTGGAGCGCCGCGAAAGGTCGGTCATCGACCAACGTCCACGATGCCCGAGCGCGACGCATGGTCGACGCAAACAGCCGCGTGATTTGGTGAATACCGCTCCACTTGGGGGCGGAATGTGGCTGCCAGCGTGCCATCATGCCGTACCCAAATGTCCTGGTTCTCGAGGATACGGGGCTCGAGCGTGAGCACGCGCATCTCCGAGAGCGGGTGTGGATCGTCCAGGCGAGACGCACTGGCATCTGAAGCTTGGCCAACCATTACCAGCCTGGAACATATCCCTTTCCCCTATCCCTACGCTGGTTATCTCCCAATCACGATGCCAATCTTAGGGATGCCCTTATTTTTGAGGGCGCATCCCTAAGATTATCATCACCTTTTGGCGTGTCAATCTTAGGGATAGGGATACGTTCGAGGCTGGTAAAACCACCGCTCTCGCACATCCCCCTGGTCTGAGCCACCCTGTCAGCTCTCCGTGCCTGTCGCCGACCTCGCCGATCAGGATATTCTCTAATTACCACCCCGACCGCCCGTAGGAACTTCACTCGCCACTCCAAACGACTAAGGCGGGATGACGATTAATAAAAAAATGGGAGAGAACGATTAAAAAATAGTTTCCTGCTATTTCTGCACCATTTTCTGACTGGAGGAGAACGATTTCAACAAAAAATAGTTTTCCAGCCCGCGGCCGGTTTTTCCTAATCGTCATCCCGGGCGCCGCCGCGTGAACACGACTCCCGGTCATTTATTAATCGTCATCCTCCATTATCTGAAGCCTGGCCAACCACCGCTCTCGCGCATCCTCCTGGTCTGAGCCACCTTGGCAGCTCTCCGTGCATGTCGCCGACCTCGCCGATCGGGATATTCTCCACCAACCTGACCGCCCGTAGGAACCCCACTCGCCTCTCCAAACGACTACGTCACCTGGGGGCTTCTATGGTCCGGAGCCCGTGGCATGCGCCCTGCCCTCTCGCGGCGGCGGCGCGGCAACCTGCACGGTCGAGCAGAGCAGCGGAAACACATACTCCAAAGATCCCAGATCAGGGGGAGCACGCACGATAACGATACCCCGCCGGGGGAAATGAGGAGGGAGGAAAACGGGTAGCCAGGGAGAAGGACGAGGAGGGAGGTTTCCAGAAATCCCTGGACGCCCCCGGAGGTCCCCTGGAGACCCTGGAGGCCTCTGGATGCAGACAGGAGCTCAAAGGCATTCAGGAGCATTAGATCCCTGGCCCTCGAGGGGGAAAGACGAGGAGGGGCAGAAAAGTAAGCGAACGATGCTGCGATGCAACCTCCCGTCCCAAGTCCCCGTTCGGAAATCCCTGCACAAATTCACCCTCACTGAAGGAGCCGCTCTCCGAGCAACACAACCAGCCTTGACAAGGAACCGCCTTCCGTCCTTCTCGCCCCAAGAGGTGCCATCGGGTATGGTCTCGCATTCCAAATACTGACGACGCCCAACGACCGCCGCACTCTGCAAATTAGCCCTTTTTGTTGCCGGAACAGAGCACCGGGACGACACAACCAGAAGGAAAGTGCCCAAGGTGCCTGCATGACTTCACATGCAGCAGAACCTCGCAACACTTTGCAACTAATTCCCATCTCCATCCCTGTAACTGTCTCGCTCGTGAAACAATTGCAGGTTGAGCGACGTTTCCAAGCGGGAGGCTCATATTGAAAAGCACCGTCCTCCATCTGTGTAGCCGCTGTTCAATATTCAACCTGCGGCCAGAAAAAACAGAGGATGCCTCGAGCGAGGATCCTGTTGGTGGAACCGCTCTCCGTCCGTGCGCCGATGATTGCAACATGGTCCGTTAGAGGTGGGTGAAGGCGACTGTTCGCGGCACGGAAGCGACATGCACATTTCGGAAAGGGTCGGACCTCTGTTTGTATCGTGGTTGAGCCATTGAATAACACATGCTCGCGGCAAGAACACGAGACTCGCAGATTGGAAATGATCCGTCCTCCATCAATGTAACTCGTGGAACATGTACGCTTCACAACCATAAGCGGGAAAGACATTTCAGGCGAAGCGCCAGGATCACCCTACCGACAAGTCTGGAGTGCGACGAGGAAGAGTTTTATGTAAGGCTAAGGGGTCAAGGAGGAGGGTGAGGAATAGCCAGGGGAGGACGAGCAACATCGGAAAGAGCACGAAGATCAAGGAGCTTCTAAGGCCGCGTCTGCCAGGTCGCCCCTGTAGCGGGCCTGGGCACGATATGGGGAAATCAACCACGAGGACGACGTCCAGCATCAGCTGCTGTCCGAAGTTACCTACACTTCAAAAGTCTCGAAGCAACAAGACGGGTGTGTTTCACAATCCTGAGTCTCGGATGCCGTTTTCAGACTCCAGGACACTGCACAACGACTCAGGAGAAAAGACCAGGGGTCGGGAAATCCACTGGCCCCGCGCCTCAACGAGGAGGACATTGGAGGTCCTGGGACCAGCGTCGGCTGTAAATGACGCTCGCCTTGGCGGCGCGCAGAGGGGGGTAGGGGGAGGGGGGAAGGCTTCTTAGAAGCACCCTGCTTCCTAGAAGGCCTCGGCCTTACGTCTATAGAGAAGGCCCGCGCCTTCTAAGAAGACGGGGTGCTTCTAAGAAGCCTTCCCCCCTCCCCCTACCCCCCTCTGCGCGTTGCCGATCGCCGCTGAACGAAGAAGGCTCGCCGCGACACCGACGGCGAATTGGGCCCACCGTGAGCAGAAGCTGCTGTCGGCCACTGTGTTGGCGGCGCGCGCAGCGGGGGGGCGGGCAGGGCGAGGGGGGAAGGGGAGGGGCTTCTACCGAGGCCTCCTGGTTTTGGGTCGGGGACTTGCAACGGGTCGCTCGTGCATCGGCGAGGCATCGGCGATATACCTAAGGGGAAACCAAACCTACCTCGCTTTTGACCACCCTCGCTTCCAAGAGATACCAAATGATGCCAAATTGCAGCCTGTACTGGTCAGGCCGCTTGACGAGGAGGCGCGTGGTATGGCTTGGTTTTGCCTGGAAGCGAAAGCGGGGTAGGTAGTTCACGCTCTGAATATCGGCGACGTCGGCGATGCATCGGCGACATCGGTGTGGACAAAGTCGGGCTCCGCGTCGAACTGCATTGCCGACGCATCGGCGATGCGCCGCGCTCCTCCGACCCCACTTACTCCGACCCGCTCTGGGAGGCCTAGGGCCGGGCCTGGGAAGGCCTCCTTCCGCTCAGAGGCCCTTCTGCTTTCCACGAGCCCCCAGTAAGAGTCACTGCGCAGGAGGCGGGGTCCCTCTAAGAAGCTGCCTGCAGGAAGGCCGCCCCTCGCCCTAACCCCTGACCAGACTCCGCTCGAGACCAGACCACGGACCCCTCCCGGGGTCCACCCTGGCCTATTTTCCGAAACGCGTTAAAGCATCGCCACGATAACCTCCCGAAGCGCCAGTAAATGTCCGAAGCGAAACTCGTTGACGAAGGCGTCGCGCCGCCAACACCGTCCCGGGGCCGCTTATTTTGTCGGTCAGAGACATGGCCCCTCTGGACCTCCTCCCCGGGCCACGTTTAATCCTGAAGCGTTTCTCTCATGGCCCTGGACCCTCACGAGAAGGCTTCCAAATTTCCAGGGTGGCGAACGACCGGCAGTGTCGATCTTGTCGAGCCACCAGATGCCGTGGGTTTGGGAGGCGGCTATAGCGGGCCTAGACTGACTGGGACCCGAGACAAATCGGTCAGGAGGGGGGATGAAGCCCAATATGGTCAAAATCGGAGCCCGGATCCCTCTCGGGGTCCATCTGGTGCAATTTGTTACCCCGGATTTGTTTTTGACGGTCCTGGGGTTCGAAAACGGCCCGGCGAGACCGAACAAGGCAAACAAGTCTTCTCGAACTCAAAACCTCGAACCCCGCCCCCCACTCCCGCTCGCTGGAACCAACGCTGTGCCACCTCATACTCCAAGCCGGCTCTGAGGTTAGCCCCGTCCCCACTTTCGCCGCCTCGGGGAAGGCCTGGGCAAGGCTGACGTCGGCGATGTCCTCCCGCCCTGGCGGCCGCTGTCCCGGGAGCAGCCGGACGGGCGGCATCGATGGCGCGCGCGAGGCCACCTGCACGGCGGAGCGGGGGACGGGGGTGGCAGGAGGGGAGGGGGGACTGGAGGGGGGTCTTTAGAGGCCTCCCGGAGGGGCGACGACAACAAGCGGGTCTCACGCGAGATGGCACAGCGGCCTTGTGCGGTGGCTTACGCGGGCCTCTAGCGTGCCACACCGAGTGGAGAGGTGGGCGCTCGCGCGCGGCCTTGCGCGGGAAGCCTACTCGGCGCACACGACCCCTTTGTTCTGCGTCGCTCAGATGGGGTCCGAGTAGATGGGGTCGGAGGATCCCACCACATCGCCGATGCATCGCCGATGCATCGGCATTTCGTCGGCGATGCACCGGCGATGCATAGGCGACGGCAGCAGTGCATCGGCGACGCCAACGCGGAGAAAATCGGGCTCCAGATCGGTTCGCATCGACGATGCATCGGCGATGCGGCGCGATCCTCTGGCCCCATCTGCTTGGACCCCATCTGGGAGGCCTAGCGTTTGGGAGGGGCGACGATCGAAGTTCCTGGGGCGCTTCTGGGCCCCTCGTGGCCACGCCCGGAGGAGGCCCGAACCTCGGCACGGGAGGCGCCCCGGGAGAGGCATGCGCGTCCGCTCTGAAGGGCGGGAGGCCCAGACCTCCAGACATCTTGCAAACTCGCGACGTCAGATGTTCCTGGTGTGATGTTCCTGGTGTTCGGGCCTCCGCAGAGATCCGCCGCGGGCCCCCGGGGCCATCTGCAAGCGCTCCGCGGCGAGCGCGGGGATGGGGAGGCGGGAGCGTCGGGGGCCCACGGTCGTGGCGGACCACACACACCCGCCGCGGGAGGCGGATCGGAGGCCGAGCGGCATGGGGAGGCAGCAAGAATCAGGGGGACGTAAGACCTGGGTACAGGGGACTCGGAAATCCCCGACGAGGTCGTCAAAAAAATGACAAGGCCGAGCCTGCATTTTGACGAGGCCTCCCGCTGCAGACATCCCACGAAACTCCTCGTCAAAATCCGAGGCGCGGTCGTCAAAAAACGATGGCGAACCCGAGTCCTGGCAAACCCGGGTCTTACGCTCCCCCGAAAGAGTGGTCGGCACGCGGATGAGTGTGTGTTTCACCCTCGGCGCGAACAGCTCGCCCCTCCCCTGCCCTTCGTGGCGCAAGCCAGGGCAGAGTTCTGCACGACACAACTGCTGCCCATCGAGGCTCGACAGCTCTGTTCGTTCGACGCCATCTGCCATCGCCAGGGAAGAGCCAGCCTAAGCACACACATAGATGCAGCTGGAGAACAGTCCCAGCACATGCTGTGGAACCCTGCACATGCACAACACATCGGAGGTGCAGGTCATGACAATGTTCCACAGAAGGGCTGGCTGCTCAATGGTTACCTCGCGCCCACGGGGGCACCATCACGGGAAAACGAAGACCAATGACGCTGGACTCGTTGCAAATACGAATGCACCGTTGAAGCACCGCTGCCGCCATGATGTCGGACGGAGCGTGCGGATTTGTCGGATGGTACAAGCAATGATGATTGCCTGTCGGTCTTTGGTCTGGAAGGTGCAGAAGGGGTGGGGGCAAGTGAAACACACGTGAAAAGGTGGCATGGAAAGATCCCACACAAAGACACGGTATGATTCTCTGCGGGGCGTACGGTACGAGGTTCTCCGCAACACGAGGGAGAAGCTCGAAGCAACACCAGCGTGCCCGTGAGGAACCGAGCGAAGCAGGAGGCAGCAAGAACGGTCGGAACGCGGAGCTGCTTTCTCTCCCTCGGCGCGCACAGCTCGCCCCTCCCCTGCCCACATGCCGGGTCTGGGGACTTCCGTGAGCCCCCGGTCAGGGTGCTGGCACCCCGTGCCGGCCGCGATGGACAGCCACTTGGGCCGACGAGGGCCGCGAGGCGATCTTGTGCAACGAACTCCGTCAGCTGTCTAGTAACGGGCGAAGAACGGTATAAAACAAACTTTTTCGCCGTCGGTGACACCTGCCCCAGGGCGGCTGGAAAGTTCATACCCTTACGGTGGCACCGTAGGGGTATAAACTTTCCAGCCGCCCAGGGACAGGCGCCCCCGACAGCGAAAGAGTTTATTTCATACCGTTCTTCGCTCGCTGAGTCTAGTCTGCGCGGTTCTGAGCCGTCGCAGCCGAGGGCAGCCCAAGACTGCCTTCCAAACGCTGCGGCGCACCCAGGATTCACGGATGGGCCGGTGCGCCCAACAATGGCGTGGGTGTGCAGACGCTGCGAGATGGCCCACTGCAGCTCCCCCCGTGGAGCGTTGGGCGGTGCTGGGATGCCGGTGCCGTGCGGTGAAGCGCACCGGAAGCAAGATGGGTTGTGCGCGTGCCGTTCTCGTGCGACGATGGGGAGGGGAGGAAGATCGGAATGAGGAATAAGGGGTACAGTCGGGGCGTTGACCTAAGGAACCCTAAATAAGGAACGAGGCCCCTTTTCTCCAGAAGTTGAACTTCGATTTCCCTTCGAAAACCTAAGTAAAATCCAAGGCAAGCTGCGAAACAATTAAGGAACACGGAGCCCCTCCCCAACGAAAAGGGTTCCTTCTTCAGGGCCCCGACTGTAGGCTTTATGGGGGCTGGGGAGCTCTAGTTTTCCTGTTGTGCGCGTGTATGAGGGTGGGGGGAGCTAAGGGGGTTCGCAACTTTCGGAGGTGAGGCTATGGCCGAAGTCGCTGCTCCCTGCTCCCTTCTCCGTCGTCCCTCCTGCCTCCTGCCTTTTTACTCTTTCCTCCTCTCTCATCGTTCTCTCTCCTCTTCCTCCTCATCCGTCCTCCTTTCTCCTCCGCTTCCTCCTCTGCCTTCTCCTCCAACTCCTCCTCCTCCTCCTCCTCCTCCTCCTCCTCCTCCTCCTCTCCCTGCCTTTCCTCCGTGTCCCCCGCCGCTCACAGGAGGTGGGCATGTGAAGACACATGACTTCCATTTCGCGAACGCTGAACGCCCGTCAAACAAATCACGAACACATACACGCGCCAGTGCTTCTAGCCCCACATCATGCCCCGCATTTGGGGGTAAGGATACGGGGTCGTCTACCTTGCTATCCTCCTCGTCAACCTCTTTTTCGTCTCATCCGTTATCGGGGTCATCGTCGTTGCCATCCCCCTCCTTTTCACTGATCTTTCTCCAGTACCCTGCACGTTTTCATCTTATCGTCTCCCCTTGCCTAACCAGCCTCGAACTGATCCCTTTCCCTAAGATGGGCGAGCAGAAAGCGAGGACAATATTAGGGATAGGCACTCAGAAACTGAGGGAATCCTTAAGATCGGCATCGAGGTGAGGTGATTTCAAACATGGGGATAGGGATATGTTTCAAACTGGTAAGTGCCACCCGCCCGTACCCCTCCATCTGCTGTCCTCCTCCCTCCCTCCCTTCTCCTCCTTCACCTCTGCCGCCCACCTTCTCCTTTCTCCTCCCCCCACCACCCCCTCTTCTCCTATTTCCTTCGTCCTCTTTGTCGTCCTCCTCCTCCTTCTCCTCCTCAACCCTCTCTCCCTCCTCCCTCCTCAATCTTCCTTCGTATGTTGTCCCGTTCCTACTCTCTCATCTCTCCTCCGCCATCTCTCCCCACGCGGCCCTCAGCTTCATGCGCGTCGGCCTCCTACAGCCCGCCCGCCATCTTCAAAACTCCTGTTCCTAAGTGTCATGCCTCATGCGTTTTCCTCCTCCCCTCCTCCATCTCCTTGATCTCCTCATCCTCATCCGCCTGCTCCCTTCCCCCTGCATCCTGTTGGGCCATCCCTGGCAGCCTCCGCCACAGGCCTAAGGGTGCCCACAAGCTGCTTCGGCCCCCTGCGGTCCCAGTCCGACGCGACCTGGTACTCGCCTGGATAGAAAGGTAAACGGGCTCCCCGCCCCCTTCGCAGTCATTCCCAAGTTCACTCCCCCTGCCCCATCGCCCTTTCCCGCTCCGCCCGCCTCACGGCTCCCTGCTCCCCCTCACTCCGCCTCCGCCGTCCGCACATTGCATAACTCCACTCCTCGTCTCCTCCTCCTCCTCCTCCTCCTTCTTCTTGTCGCGCTCCTGCGTCCTCTGGTCTCCCTAAGCCAAGCGTCCTCGCTGCTCCTTCCTCCTTTCTATGTTCGGTCACTTGTTTCTCTTTTTCTTGTTCTCTCTCTCTCTCACTCTCTTTGTCTCTTTCTCGCCCTCGTTTTCTCTCTCTCTCTCTGTCTTTCTCTTTCTCGTCCTCTCTCTCTCTCTCTATCTCTCTCTCCCTCTCTCTCCAACGGTAAATGACCATCGTCACCCCCCCCCCCCACCCCCCGACACACGAGCCGGATACACCAGGTCCGAGCTCCACCAGCCGAAACCCAACCCGCTCACCACGGGGGGCGGCCGAGCCACCAGGCCCACCCGGCGACCCGCCCCGCTCCCAGAGGCGCAGCAGGGCCAGGCTGCTGCGACGAGCTGGACGGTCCGCGGGGTATCCCCCCTGGATAGCCTCGAGGACGAGGAGGACCCACTCGCCCTGCAGTCGGCCTTGATTGAACAGGACGCGCGAGAGGACACGAGGCCCTTCCGAGGGCCACGTCGCCACAGGAATGCAGGAGGCACGCGTCGCGAGACACAGGGCACAAGGGTAGCCTTGAGCTGGCAGGGTCGACCTACGAATACGGGCCGACTGTAGGGGGGCCCTCGACGACGACGAGGACGACACTCCTCACCCACCAGATTGTCACGACAGCGACGGTCGCGCCGTGGACGACGACATTCCACCCCTACGTCCATTCAAGCACACAGCGACAGTGACCTAGCAGGTGAAGGCCCACCAGGACACCACCTCAGGCACCCCACTGTGACCCATGCGCCAAACCAAACTACAAGGGCGGACCTCACCAGCGGCAGCAGAGCCCCTACCGGCGTCCCCGACACAGTCAGCCACAACCCACGGAATAACTGCGGCAACAACGTCATCCGCCTGGGAGAGGATCAATGCATAGTAGGCGAGGGGTCGTGGACTGCGCCCAAGGGCCAACTCCGTCACCCCAACACGCTGGGCTAGCCAGTGCAAGCACACCCAGACCCCCCCCCCACGCAGTGCTTCCTGCCGCCAGGCAAACCCCCCACCCCACCAGGGAACGGGGACCACGGGCCCTCGTACCATCTACCAGAGCGTAGGTGGCCGAGCGAATCCAGAGCAGTGCGCCGATCGGAGGCGTGCCCTCACGCAACGCCTCATTACGGCCAGGCCACAACCTCACCAGGATCGTGAAACCGCGCTTACCACTAGCATCACGGCGCTGCAACAGCGTGCCTCCAGCCTCGCTCTCACGCTGCGCAGCACGCAGGACCATCCCAGACCCCTTCTCGACTGGTCCCAACAAGCACAACAGGCCTTCCGCACGCCTGCTTTCCCTGGGGCCACTCTCCAGGAACATTTCCAGGCGCGACCTGCTGCTCACCGCTATCGCATTCCTGCCAGCCTCATCCACGCTGTCTCTGGTGCCCCGCGAGGGCACCTGGCGACCCGTTCCGTAGACCTGGCTGGCGCCGGGCCGCCGCGAGGGCTGCCCCCAGGCGGCGCCTTCTCTTTCCAGGGCTCCGCGGCGATCACGCCAAAGCGCGCTTGGAGAGCCGGCGCCTCTCTGTGTGTACGGGGGTGCAGACATGGCGAGCCTCGCCCTTCTCACCGCACACCGCTTTTGTTTTGCGGTCGGGCTATCTTTTTCGACCGCGCCAAGGAGGGGTGCTACCCCTATCACATCATGCGGCACCCCCCGCCAGAGCGAGGGAGGCCCAGCCGGCTCTTTCTCTCTCTCTCTCTGTCTCTCGTTCGTTATCCTCCTCTCTCTCTCTTTGTCTGTCTGTCTCGCACCCCCTCTCTCGCAATAGATACTAACTAGAAATGAGAATAATGATATTGATAATGCCACAACAACAACAACTACTACTACTGCTGCTGCTGCTGCTGCTGCTGCTACTGCTACTACTACTACTACTACTACTACTACTACTACGACTACGACTACGACTACGACTACGACTACTACTACTACTACTACTGCTACTGCTACTGCTACTGCTACTGCTACTGCTACTGCTACTGCTACTGCTACTGCTACTACTACTACTACCACCACCACCACCACCACCACCACCACCACTACTACTACTACTACTACTACTACTACTACTACTACTACTACTACTACTACTACTACTACTACTACTACTACTACTACTACTACTACTACTACTACTACTACTACTACTACTACTACTACTACTACTACTACTACTACTACTACGACTACGACTACGACTACGACTACTACTACTACTACTACTACTACTACTACTACTACTACTACTACTACTACTACTACTACTACTACTACTACTACTACTACTACTACTACTACTACTACTACTACTACTACTACTACTACTACTACTACTACTACTACTACTACTACTACTACTACTACTACTACTACTACTACTACTACTACTACTACTACTACTACTACTACTACTACTACTACTACTACTACTACTACTCATACTAATAATAACAATCATAATAATAATACAAATAATAATAATAATATTACGACTACTGTTACAAACAAGAATTACGCTACCAAGGAACCCCACATACTTAACTTAAATATTGTGTGTTTGCTTAAGTAAATAATGTATGCGCAATTCTGCGTTCTCAGCCCTCGTCGCGAATGTTCCCCTATATGTCATCCAACGCCATATTGCTTGAACCTGCGAACGTGTCACGGGTAGACGCCGCGCTGAGGGACCACCCCCTGCGCCCCCCCAGTGGTGTCGAAAATGTTCCGCGCCTGCCACGCTCTGCGAGCGTGTCACGGATAGAGGCCGCACTGAGGGACCAACCCCTGCGCCCCCCCAGCGGTGTCGAGAAAGTGCCGCGCCTGCCACGCTCTGCGAGCGTGTCACGGATAGAGGCCGCACTGAGGGACCACCCTCTGCGCACCCCCATGTGGTGTCGAGAATGTGCCGCGCCTGCCACGCCCTGCGAGCGTGTCACGGATAGAGGCCCCGCTGAGGGACCACCCTCTGCGCCCCCCCAGTGGTGTCGAGAAAGTGCCGCGCCTGCCACGCTCTGCGAGCGTGTCACGGATAGAGGCCGCACTGAGGGACCACCCTCTGCGCACCCCCATGTGATGTCGAGAATGTGCCGCGCCTGCCACGCTCTGCGAGCGTGTCACGGATAGAGGCCCCGCTGAGGGACCACCCTCTGCGCCCCCCCAGTGGTGTCGAGAAAGTGCCGCGCCTGCCACGCCCTGCGAGCGTGTCACGGATAGAGGCCCCGCTGAGGGGCCACCCCCTGCGCACCCCCTGTGGTGTCGAGAAAGTGCCACGACTGCTGTGCCTGGACGACTGTCGTGCATAGCGGCCGCGGTGAGAGACCACCCCCTGCGCACCCCCTATGGTGTCGAGGAAGTGCCACGCCTGCTCGCCTGCCGCATGGCTTGCCGTGCGTATGTGTGTGATGCGTGTGCGGCCATATCGGGACATATCTCACGTGTTGCCCAGTATGTCGTGCAGACGTCTTGGGTGTATGATGCAGTGAACATGCGTCTTGTATGTGCGAATGTGTGCATGCGTGCGGCTGTGTGCGAGTGTGTGGGTGAGGAGGCGGGAGGTGTGTGAGACGCGGGTGCGCGCGGCAGGGAAGAAAACCATAACCCCACGAGACATGTGGGGAATAATAAAACTATGAATGCGAATCAGAAGAATAGCAATACAGTGCGAGCATTAGTAAAAAGACAAACGAAACTGAACACATAATGATGATACAATAATACTACCAACCAGAAACACATATTCACATTTTACACTTATATCGGGCATGCCTGATTTCAGCATCTGTCTCTCCAGGACGTCGCGCGTGCTGTTCCGCGCCGCACCCCCGTGTCGCGCTGATTGGCGACGCGAAGTTTGTCCTGAAGGGCGTGCTGCGGGCAGGCTTTGGTTCCGCAGCGCGCAGCGGGCCATTGCGGACATCTCGGCGGCAGATCGGGAATCATATGGGTGAAATGCGTATTACTTGCGACAAGCAAGTGAACGTCCAGAGTGGGCTGGTCCACAGCAACGAACTACAGCTCACAACAGGGAATAATAGAAGCGGCGTCTGCACAGGGGTAGGTAACCCCGCGCATGCCCACAAGATCCAGAGGACGACGACGACGAGGAAACGAGCGCAGAGGGCGGAACGAACGACGAGGCGACTGGGGAGAGGCAAGAAGCGCGAGCCCCCTGCTCTCTACGCTCGGCGGCTCTGGCGCCGTTTTCCTGAGCCTGGCGGCACTTACGCCGTTCCCTGACGCGTTCTCGGTGAAGCCGCGCTCCGCAAAGTGGCGGCACACAGCTCCGGTGCTTATCTTGCGGAAGCGACGTCTAGGAGCGACGGCGCGTCTGCGCAAACAGAACTGCCGACCAGTGGGCCAGGGAAGGCGCCGAAGCGCGTGCGAACGAACCCCTGGCTACCAGCACCGGGCGTGCGACGTGCAACGATTCAACCGCGCGACAGTATTACATCCTGAGTTCGGAGGCGAAGCTGGCGGCCTGGGTCTTCGAGTCTCTACGCGCAGCCCGGAAGTTGCCAAAGGTACACCCCACAATGCGTGAGCCTCCTCTCGCCCTCGCGCCGGGCCCCGAGCAGCATCATCAAGTGCCACGACGGGGGAACAGCTGGATATGCACCAGGTGTGACACGCGGCCAAGCCTCAAGTACCAGCTAGAGGACGACTCCGGTGTGATCATGTGGCCGCGCGGCTCCCGATGCAGTTGCGCGCCTGGGGGCAGATCATGGCGCCCGCCTATGGCCTATGGCATACTGGAGACTTGGCGCAGTGACATACCAATGATGCGGGGAACATGCTAGGCAAGGGCATGGTGGGCTACTGCTCCAATATCCCAAGCATCCAAATAAACGCCTGCACCTTCAGAACCTCTGCTCTGGCAACAAGCGAAGGCCAAATCAGCTGACTCCCAACTCGGGAACCCAACTCCTCTCACCTGAGTTTTTCCCTCCTGTTGCTCCTCCCCTCCCTCCCCCGTCCGAATCACCCCTCCCCTCCGACAGCTCCCCCTCCCCATGCTCCGCCCGCTTGTCCTCAAATGGATTGTCCGCCTGCTGTTCCGCGTTTTCAAAGTTGTTTTACTTTCCCCCTCCCCCTCTTTCCCTCCTGCTGCTACGGCTGCTCCTCATCCCGATACCCCCCACACCTCATTTTGGAGGGCGCGCCGCTGGATGACCCCAAGGGGGAGGCGGTTGGGACCCCCCCCACCACCCCCTTTCCCCGATCAGTCGTCGGGGACCCCCCCCCCCTTTCCCGATCCGTCGTCGGGGACCCTCCCCCATCCCCTTCCCCCATTTCCCGGCCCGTCGTCGGGGACCCCCCCCTTCCCCTCTTTCAAAAGCCCTCCCCTCCTTTGGCCGCCAAATTCTACCCCCACCCCCTTCCCCTCCTTTCGCCACGGCGCCCCAGGTCTCCGGAACCCGACCCCTACCACCCCTAACACTAATCCTCACCCTTGCCCGAACCCCTAACCCTAATCCCAAACCCTAGTCCCAAGCTGTACTCACTACTCATCACGCACTACTCACTACCCACAATTTACTGCTCGCTACTCACTACTCACTACTCACTACTCTCTACTCACGACCCACTACTCAGTACCCGCGACTCACTACCCACGACGCACTACTCACTAATCCCTACTCCATACCCACTACTCACTACTCACTACCCACTACAAACTACTCACTACTCACTACCCACTAGTCAATACTCACTAGTCACTGGACACAACTCACTACCACTACTCGCTAATCACAAATTACTACCCACGACCCACTAACCACTATCCATTACTCACTACTCACACTTCACTACTCACTACTCCCTGCCCACAACTCACCAATCAATATCCACTACTCGCTACTCGCTACTCCCTACTGTCTACACAATGCTCACTACTCACTCCTCGCTACTCCCTGCGCCCTACTCGCTACCCAATACGCACGATGCACCACCCACTACTCACGAAACACTGCGCTCCCCCTACTCACTACTTCTTACTCCCTACTCACTACTCCCAACTCGCTACTCACTACCCAGTACTCAATACTCACTACTCCTGAAACACTACTCACTGCCCACCACTCACTACTCATTAAGCACTACTCACTACCCACGAACCGTGATTTACTACTGAGAACTCACAATTCACTACTCACCACGAACTGCCCAGAACTCACTACTTACTATCCGCTACTCGCTACCCAATGCTATATTCACTACCCACTACGCACTACTCCCTGCTCACTACTCACAACTCCCTACCTCCTACTCGCTAGTCACTACTCACTAGTCGCAAGTCGCTACCCACTACTCCCTACTGGCTACTCACTAATTTCTACCCGCTGCTCCCTACGCACTACCGACTACTCAATACCCACTTCTCGCTTCTCACTACTCACTACTCACTACTGCCTACTCACTACTCACAAATCACTACTCACTGCGTCACTACTCACTACTCGCTACTCCCTACTCGCTACGCATTACTTGCTACTCACTACTCACTACTCACAACGCCCTACTCGCTACTCGCTACTCGCTACTCACTACTCGCCACTCCCTACTCGCTACTCCCTACTCGCTACTTGCTACTCACGACTCACTACTCCTTACTCTCTACTCACTTCGCACTACTCACTTCTCACTACCCACTCATCGCTATTCGTTACTGTCTATGTCTGATCCCTACTCCCTGCTTGCTACTCACTATGCACTACTCAATACACACTACTCTTTCCTCATTACTCACAATTCCTTACTCACTACTTCCTTCCCACTTCTCACTACCCACTACTCACTTATCACTACTCACTTCTCACTACTCCCTACGCACTACCGACTACTCAGTACCCGCTTCTCGCTTCTCACTACTCACTACTCACTACACCCTACCTCCTACTCACTACTCACAAATCACTATTCGCTACTCACTACTCGCTACCCCCTACTCGCTACGCACTACTCCCTACTCACTACTGAGTCGTGACAACTCCCTCCTCACTACTCACTACTCACAACGCCCTACTCGCTACTCACTACTCACTACTCGCAACTCCCTACTTGCTACTCCCTACTCGCTACTCGCTATTCGCTACTCACTACTCACTACTCTGTAGTCACTTCGTACTTCTCACTACGCACTACTGACTAGTCACTCCTCGCTATTCGCTACTGTCTACTTCCTCATCCCTACTCCCTGCTTACTACTCACTATGCACTACTCACTACACACTACTCACTCCTCAATACTCACTACTCGCAATTCATTACTCACTACTTCCTTCCCAGTACTCACTACCCACTACCCACTACTCACTACTCTCTACGCGCTAGTCACTACTACCACAACCCACTACCCTCTACTCAATACTCACCATTCACGACTCACTGCGCACTACTCACTATCAAATACCCACTACTCACCAATCGCTACTCAAAGCACTCTACTCTCTACTCACTACCTGAGAAGCCCCCTCCCCAGCCCCCTGTTCGGCGCAAAAGGGGGGAAGAGGGGGGGGAGGTTCGAGCCCCCTCCCCCTCTTTCCGGCGCCAAGGGGGGAGGGGGGGGGGTCCGGACCCCCCTCCCCCTTCAAGGGAGGGGGGGCGGTTCGGATCCCCCCACCTTCCCCCCTTAAGGGGGGGAGAGGGGGGCGGGGTTCGAAAATCTCACCTCCCCTTTGAAGGGAGGGAGGGGGTGGGGGGGTTCTGCGAGCCCGCCCCCCCCTTTAGTGTTTTCAGGGCCATCCACTGGCGCGCTTTCCTCATTTTCGTCTCCTCCGTCTCTGCTTTTCCCCTTCCTTATCCTCGCCATCCTCCTGTTGTTCCCGTTTAGCATGGTATTCCCCCATCCTCCTCCTCCTCCTCTTCCTCCTCCTCCTCCTCCTCTTCCTCCACCTCCTTCCCCTTTTCCTCCTTTTCCTCCTCTTCCCTCTTCCTTCTCCTCCTCCTTCTCCTCCTTCCTTACTTACTTGCTTGTTTCCTTCCTTCCATCCTTCCTTCCATCCTTCCTTCCTTCTCCTCCTCCTCCGTCACCACATCCTCCTCCTCCTGCTCCTCTGTCTCTTCCTCCGATCTCAAGCCTTGGACTCGCAAGGGCCCTGGTTTGTCCCAGCCGCCTGGGCCTGGGTTCTTCAAGATCGTGGACGTGGAAAACACCTTGGGGCAACCGCAACCACGCGGATAGAAAGATCCGCCCCCCCCAAGGGAGACAAACTGATGACGAGGACGACGCGTAGGAAGAAAAGGATACTCGCTGGCAGAAGGACAACATCACGCAGAAACTCGCCTCCGTGCAGCAAGAGGGGTGACGTGGAAGGGGGATGTGGTGGGAGGAGGGAAGATGAGGAAAGGGAGGAAGAGAAAGAGGAGGAGGAGGGCGAAGAGAACGGAGGAATGATGCGATGCGGCCACCGTTACGGACAGCGTCTGGGCCTGGCTCAGACCAGGTGGTTGAGGCCGTGGCCTCGTAAATTCGGCTTGTCTGGGTTCAAGCAATGCGGAAGCAATCAACATTACGAGGCGAGAAGGAAGAGGAGGAGGAGAAAACAAGGAAATGGAAATCCTTGGAGTCGGTGTCGGCACGGACTGGGCGTGTCGTCTCGACTTTCTTTGGGCGCTGACTTTATGGATCTTGGTCCTGGGTGTTTGCTGGTGCGAGGTCGGAATAGTGATACTGAAGGGTATATTGGGCTGTTTGCGTCCGTGTGATGTCGTTTGGCTGTCCTCTCGACTGGGTTTGTGCGGATGGTCGGTGGAGGTCTGGTCTGCGTAGGCGTGAAAAGGTATTGATTTCGTCGTCGCAGCGCTGGCGTTGGCCACCGTGCTACCGCTGTCATTGCTGGCGCCGGTGGTTGGGGTCTGGTGACCATCGTAGCACTCGCAATGTTCATCTTATTCGGTAGTGGTCTGCGGCCCTGAAGCCACGCGCCGTAGTTTTCGTGCGTGTGTACCGTCACCCAAATGTCGAAGAGGTGAAGCTTCATAAAGTGCTCTGCTCGTCGTGTAGCTCTCCGAATGTACACGACCCAAGGATCCAACGGCTTTGCACTTGTGGTGTCTTCGCAGCTCTCGCTGTGCATGTCGGGCGTGGTCAGTCCTTCGCGCTGAAGTGGATTACTGTGTGCGTCGTCGCTGGTGCTGTTGGAGCTGTGGTCGTTGCCTGGCGTCACGTTGCTCGCGCTGTCGAAAGCGGTGGGTCTCTGGCTACTGTGAAGGTTTGCTTGTTGTGTTGTGCGTCGCCGCGGGTCCCTGATGATCATGCGAAGCATGCGTCGTTGTGCCCGTCGTAAATGCTGCCCGAAGGGCTCCGTGAGCGTCCGCGTCTCTGCTCCGTGCGAGATTTTCGGTGTTACAATGCGGCTGAGTAGCTGGAGCCAGTGAGCCAAAGGGTAGCATTTGCTCGTCAGCTCTTGTTTGCGAGAAGAGAACGGTGCCCATGTTGCTCTCGTGCGGTGGCGGATTTCTGTGTCCATCGCAATTCGCCGAAGGATGTGAGACTGTCCTCGCATGGGATGATTTATCGGAGGTTGGGGGGTGAGATCGCAGTGGAACGGAGACCCCCAACCGGGACATTCGTTTCGTTCGTGTCGTGCGTGCGGGCGGGGCGAAGCTGCGCGGGCGCGCGAGAGGAATGAACCCGCCGTTGCTGGGGCGAAATCAAGCCAAATGATTCTCCCCCTCCCGCCCGTCTGGCGGTGGCCCGCGGTGTCTCGCGGTGTCCCGTGGTGTCCGCCGCTGCTGGGTCGAACTCAAGACAAGTGATTCTCCCCCTCCCGCCCGTCTGGCGGTGGCCCGCGGTGTCCCGCGGTGTCCCGTGGTGTCCGCCGTTGCTAAGGCGGAATCAAGACTAATTATTCTCCCCCTCCCGATCGTCCGGCTGCGGCTCGCGGTGTCCCGCGGTGTCCCGTGGTGTCCCGTGTTGTCGCGTGGTGTCCGCCGCTGCTAAGGCGAAGTCAAGACAAGTGTCCCGTTGACTGGGATCGATTGTGAAATCGATAGTGAGATCGATTGTGAAATCGATAGTGAAATCAATAGTGATGTCGATACTGAAATCGATGTGGTGCCCCAGTGGCCCAAGGTGTCCCGAGGTGTCCCAAAAAAGTGAGATCGGTAGTGAAGGTGTCCCGTGGTGTCCCGTTGAGTGATATCGATAATGAGATCGATAGTGAGATCGATAGTGAGATCGATGTGGTGCCCCGGAGTGTCCCGCGGTGTCCCAAAAAGTGAGATCGATAGTGAAATCGATAATGACATTGACAGGTGTCCCGTGGTGTCCCGTGGCGTCCCGTTGAGTGAGATCGATAGTGAGATCGATGTTGAAATCGACAGCGAGATCGATGTGATGTCCCGAGATGTCCAGTGGTGTCTTATGGTGTCCCGTTGGATGAGACCGATCGTGAGATCGATAATAGGACCACGAGTGAGATCGAGAGGCGAAAGAGCGCATTGCACGGGCGCTTGCCTTGGGAACATTTGGCGGCGCGTTTCGAACCGGGGGGTAAGCCTTCCCCCCCACAACACTCGGCGCCGTCGATCAAAACCGGGAGGACTCCACTCCCCCCCAAACCTCCCCCTGCCGAATGCCCCCCCGCACCCCGGGCGCCGGCGCCGGCGCCGGCGGCCGCCAGCAGCGCCGACGGCGGAGACGCAGTGACGATGACCAGAGGCAACTCAGGGGGAACGGGGGGGGGGTTCAAACCCCCCCTGCTGGCGCCGGCGCCGGCGCTGGCGGTGGCGGCGGCCAGCAGCGCCGACGCTGGCGCCGGCGACGGCGGGGACGCAGCGACGATTACCATGCACCACTGCCACCACCACCACAACTACCACCACCACCACCGCCTCAACCCACCACGACCACCAACCCACCACCACAACCACCATCACCACCACCACAGCCACCACCACCACCACACCACAACTCACCATCACCACCACCACCACCACAAAAATCAACCACCACTACCGCCACCACCACACTCGACCATACCACCACCCCCACCGCCACAACCACCACCACTACCAGCAGCACAACCCACCACCACCACCATCACAAACCACCACACCACCACAAACCACCACCACCGCCACCACCACCACCAGAACCACCTCCACAAACTACCGCCACCTCCACACACCACCGCCCCCACCACCACCCAAACCACACCACACCACCACCAAACCACCACCACCACCACCACAACCACCACCACCACCACCACCACCACCACACCACCACCACCACCACCACCACCACCACACCACCACCACCACCACCACCACCACCACCACCACCACCACCACCACCCCACCACCACCAACCACCACAACCACCACCCACCGCCACCACAACCCACCACCACCACCACAACCACCACCACCACCACCACCACCACCACCGTCCTCGTCGACGGTCCCCGCCGCCGCCGCCCGCCGCCGCAGGCGCCGCCGTCGGCCCAGAAAAGAAAATCGCCGTCCCCGCCGCCGCCGCCGCCGCCGACGCATGCGCCAGCCCGAGGAGAAGGAGAGAAAAAAAGTAGGGAGGGGGGGGGGTCCAAAACCCCCCCTCTCCGTCACGAGAGGGGGGGGGTCGACCCGCCCCCCCCATCCAGGGTGGGGGGTCCGGTTCCAACCCCACCCCCTCTCCTCCAAGCGACCACAGAGCGCTCTTTCCGAGAGGTGTCCCGCGGTGTCCGTCCCGCGGTGGCCCGTGGTGTCCCGTGGTGTCTCGTTGAATGATATCGATCGTGAGATCGATAGTGAGATCGACAAGTGCCCCGTGGTGTTCCGTGGAATGAGATCGATAGTGAGACCGATTGAGTCAGATGTTGGTTCCCTCCCCCTCTCCCCCCCCACACAACCTCCTTATCGCCCGAAGGGTGGTCGTATAGGTTATATCAATTTCTTGGGCGCGTGCTGTGCGCGAGCTCGCCATTCCCGTCTTGTTTTGGTTTCTTCGCATGCTTGTCTCGCTCGGGTGTAAGTCGAGCCCGCGCGGCTTTGCTACGCGCGCAAAGTCGTCGATCATCGTAGTCAGACGCGGGAAAGTTCTGCTGGCGTGGAGCACGCGAAACGTAGGTTGGCAAGGGCAACGCTCGCGAATCCAAACTCATATCCTTCACTGTCCGCTTCCATTCGGGGACCAGCGGGCCAATGCTGCGTTGTGGGAGAGCGTTGAAAAACAGGGGGCAAGGTGGGTCGCCCTGCTTCATGCCCCACAGAATGCCGGAGGGCATGCTGTTGACGATCACTCGGATGGGCACCCCGAGCTACTGGGGGAACTTGACGCGTGAATAGAAAATCAAAACACCCTCCTGCGAGGTCGGAATCGATTTCGACTCTCGTTCCGCCGCAGAGTACTAAGGCCGTTGAAGGCGATTAAATGCGCATCGCCATCGAGTTCAAAAGCTGCGGCCACGAACGCGCTGGGACTGGCGCGAGCCGACGCGGCATGCGAATCAACTGGACATGACCCCCACGAAGGAAAACTTGCCCTGACGACGGCCAGCGCGCAATGCCACGCCGCGGGCTTCCAGGAAACGGTTGCCACGGCACGTCGGGGCATCTGCAGCAAGCCATAACAACATATAGCATACCGCCACCGCCTAATAGATCATGGCGCCGCAGCACGGCGCGGAATACGACAGCGCAGCAGATCGTCGAACTGATCGCCCCTTAGAGCGGAGACATACCTGGTCAACCCTTGCAGTGAAGCCCCGAGAAAGAGGCCAGGAAGGCCGCCCTCAGGGGCTCTCCCAGGCGGTTGCATATCGCCGGGGTCCAGACCCCAACGACATCAACCCATTGCCTTCTGGCGCGACATCGGCGGTCGCCAAGGCACTCGGCAACACTATGGGTTGAATTCCAGCGTTGATGTTTTCGTCTGCCGAGGTGAGCGTTCACGTCCGCTAGTGCAGTGGACTGAAAGACCCGCGAACTTGCAATGAGCGCCGACTCCAACGCACCCCGCATCCTCCTGCCCGACCCCCCCCCCCCTAAACTGCGCTCCTCTCCTGGGATGGGGGCGCCCCTCCCCTCCTCCCTTCGGCTGGCACGAGGGCTGCAAACCCTGCGGCTCCTCGGCGCAACGATCGGTCGGCCCAAACTTTTGGACGCCCGAAATGGGCACTGAAACAGTGGGCACAATGCCCAACAGCAAATGCTGTCCCGAACCAACAGCGGCCGCTGTTGGGCAGGCGGCATTCTGTCTCAAATGGACACAGGCCGCGGCGTCGCGGACAGCGAGTCCTGCTCGAAATGCACAGGAACCGCTGTTGGGCATCGTGCCCATTCTTTCCGTGCCCATCTCGCTCGCGCAAAAAACTTGGACTGGCGAGCCCCGCGCCCGGCCAGATTGAAGGGGCCCCAGAACACACAAATAAGTACACCCAAATAAAAAAATTCCCCCTATTTTCCTATATGTTCTGGGTTTCTGCCTTCCCCCCCACTTCCCATATCTTCCCACATTTTCTTGGGGATCGAAGATGAATTGTGTCTGTGTTTTTTCCCCTCCTGACAGACTTTCAGCCACCCGGCTCTTCGCGGCCGCCGAACCGCGCGCCCCGTCGACTCTCCGGGGCCCCGGCGCCGCGGCCCGCACAAGGACGTCGCGCAAGGAAGAGCAGCACCGAACTTTCGCGGGCGCACGCCTGGGCGACTTCCAGGGCAAACATGTGGGCGAACGCCCGAAAAGGGAACAGTCGGGGCGTTGACCTAAGGAACCCCAAATAAGGAACGAGGCCCCTTCCTTCCATAAGTTAAGCTTCGATGCCCCATCGAAAGCCAAAGGCATACCAGAGGCGAACTGTAGAACAACCAAGGAACACTGAGCCCCTCCCAAACGAGAAGGGTCCTTCTTCAGCGCCCCGACTGTTCCTGGGCGAACTCCTCGAGGAAAACCGGGCGAAAACCGATCGAGTACTACTTGTCCCGGGCCCCGCCCGCGCCCGCCCGCGGGAAAACCGCAGCGAGCAGCCGCCCATGCTCCCGCATAAGCTGCACTCAGAATCTGGCGGAACTTCCACTCGAAATCCAACAGCATGTTCACTCAGGATCCGGCCGGAAATCCACCCCTTCATTCCTCCTACACCTTCTCCTCCCCCCCCCCACCCCTTTCCGATTTCTCCCGCGCTGCTCCCTGCTCCTCCTCCTCTCCCTCGATTCTCCCCCGTGCCATCCCTTTCTTCTCCCGCGCGTCTTCCCTCTTCTAATCCCCCCCATGCGCCTCCTTCTCGGGCCTCCGGGAACATGCGCGCAAAACCACGCTCGAACAGAACATATAGCGGCCCGCTCTAATGAACGAGCATCCGCGCGGATTTTCCCGCGCGGCATCTACTTCCCCCCCACTCCACAATTGCCCCCCCCCCCCCCGCCATCGCCCGCGCGCCCCCCGCCCGCCCCGTCGCCAACTTTCTCCTCGAATGCCTCCTTTCTCCTTTTACTTCTCTCTAGCTCCCTACCCCTTCTCAGATTTCTCATGCGCCGACCCCCTCTTGCATCCAATGTGTCGTCGCGCCTCTCACCCCCCCCCCCCGCTCTCTCCGCCCGCGCGCCCCCCTCGCTGCGCGCCCGGGGGAACCTTAAACAATCGCTCAAACGATCCCAGCGCCCCCCCCCGGAGGCGGACGAGATTCCGCGCGCAATGCCCTGCCCGCCCCCCTGGCAAAGGAAACGCGCCGCCCTCGTCGGCACGCCCGCCTACCGCGATCGCGCGAGACGCACCGCGCGAAACGAGCTCCGCCATTTCGCTGCAGCGCGCGGGGCCTCCGGCGCCCCCGCGCGCCCGCAAAACCGCTGAGGAGATGCCATGCTTAAACGATGTCGATCGATATGCTGCCACACATTGCGGTTCGCAGGATTTCCGAAAGGTCGATCGCTTGTAGCTCTGGCGCTTTCAAACTCCCGAACTCTCGCCAACCTCGAAGTTCGGCTCTCTGGCGAGTGCCCTGGATCAACCTTCGGGCGCAAACCCGCCTGCAGTTTCTTCAAACCCCGCAAAGGTGCTTCCCGACTACAATTTCACTCGCAACATAAAACGCCCATCGGTGCTTTCACTCGGTTTGCATTCGGGGCGTCTGGCCGACTGATGACGTCTGTCTTCATCGTAGCTGTCTGTCCCTCGTAGCGCTGCTGATGTAGTGCGATGTATCCGGGCAGTGCGCCTTGTGCTCCCAATGATGCCGTTTTGTTGTTGTGCTCAACTCAGCCGAAAGCTCGTTCGAATTTGAGTGCCGTGGCCCATGATGTTTGGCCTCATTCGTGTGCCCGCTCACGTAATAGGCGAAGGTGGTGGTCTGTGGTCGAGTGGCCTGGTCTGAAGCATGCCTGGTGTGCAGTCTGTTGTATACCAGTGGGCTGAATAGCTTATACATCGATGGTCTCGTGCAAATGGGGCGGTAGTTCTGTGGAAGTGTGGGATCTCCACTTTGGGGCATTAGTGTGATGACTGCGCCCCTTCAGCTGGTTAGCGGCGAGCGCTGCGTAGCAATATCGCGTTGTACAGGTGGAGCAGTACAAAAAAGAATTCTTCGAAGCCCTCTTTAAGCATTCCTGCGCGGAGGGCTTTGGTGTCGGGGGCGTTGTCACGCGGGAGGCATTTGATCGCCTTGTTTAGCTCTGTCAGCGTGAACAGTCGTAGACGGTGGGTCTGCTGGTCGGTGGTCGGCCTGCTGGACTTCTCGTTGGCGGTCGGTGGTCGGTCTGCTGGTCTGCTGGTCGGTCCATTGGATTGGTCGGTCTGCTGGTCTGTTGTCGGTGTGGTCGTCGTTCGGTCGCAGTAGTAGTCGGTGGGTCTGCTGGTCGGATGTCGTTAGTCGGTCTGCCGTTCTGCTGGTCGGCGGTCGGTGGTCGGTCTGTTGGTCGGTCGGCGGGTCCCGCATCGCATTCGGCCTGTTGGTCTGCCGGTCTGCTGGCCAGTGGTGGGTGAGGTGGCCGTTAAGTCGTTAAGTGCTGGTCGGCGGTCGGTGGTCGGTCTGCTGGTCTGCTGGTCTGCGAGTCGGCGGTCGGTCTGCTGTTCTGTTGGTCGGTCGGCCGTCCCCGTGTCCAGACAGCTGGACTGCTGCCAGCCTGCTGCTCGGTCTGCTGGTCTGTCTGCTGGTCGGTCTGCTTGTTGGTGGTCGGTGGAGTCGTCGGTTGATCGCTCGGGTTGTTTTCTGTCTGCTGTCGAATTGTACAACTGGTCGTATAACTGCGCAAAGACGTTTGCGATCTCTGATCGTGTCGCGCATCGGGTGCCCTCTTTGCCTGTCACGTGTGCGATGGGACTCCGTTTCCGTCGTAGTTTGACACGTGGGATGCTTAGTAAATTTGCTATATGGGCCTGGTTTGTCGTCCGCATCTATGCTCGATGTTTTGCTGTATGAGTTTGCTCAGTTGCTTGCGGGCGTGGTGGTCGTCGTTGGGCGTCTGCTGCCGCTGTGCGACCAAACTGTTTAATCGTGTTGTTCCTCGGTGGTTTGTTTGACTGTTGGCTGGGGTTGCAGGTTCTGTCTCGGCACCGCTGGCGGCAGCGGCGCCGATCATGACTTGTTGGATGTGTTCGCTTGGCGCTTGCGGGTCGGAAGGTAAACTGTGCTGTTCAAACAACGTTGAGCCGTTAGTGGTCATGCTAAGCTTGCGTGGTGGCGATATGTCTGGTCGGAGATGTGTGTGGAAGGGCGCGGCGTTGTTGACGTCTGTCGTCGTCTCGGTCTCCGCACTTCGATGGTCACAACCTTGTGGTCGGAGCCGAAGTCGGTGCCGTCATTTGGCCTCTGCGTTGGTCCAGTACCGGAACAACGTGCGGTTCAGAAATACGTAGTCGAATTGTTTGTGTTGGTCGCCGTTGGTAAATGTGGTTTGCTTGTGCACTGGTTTGTGAAACACATGCATTTGCGATAACGAATCTCTTGGGTTGCCAATTACGTAGCCGGGTGACCATCGCGTTTCGGTCCCCGTACCCGTGGCGGCCAACATGTCTAGGGGTGGTGTTCTCGAAATTGTCGGCGTTACCGTCGTCTGCGTTTAAGGAAATGGCGGAAGCTCCAACCTGAGCGTTGAAATCACTTGCGAGCTTGGCACTCGATCTGTGAAACTCGTAGATCATGTCGCACATGCGCTGTACGTGCGGGTCGCTGTATCCTGACTGAGGGGAAGTCTGCCGCCATGAATTGTAATATGAATCGCTCTCTTGATTGTGATACCGAGGCCAGTATTGGGCGAAAGCGCTTGGAGCCGCTTGATGTGTTTGGTCCAGCGTCGATGTATGATTAAACAACTCCATGGCATGCTTCTTCCTTGCCGGATCGGGCGAAGGCAAGTCGGAACAGGAGGCGGAGGGCAAGGGGAAGGGAGGACAGGAGGAGGAGGAGGCGGAGGAGGAGGAGGAGCTGGAGGAGGAGGAGGCCGGATCCAGGCCGTATCTTCTGGAGGATGAGGAGGGGCGACGGAGGCGGATGCAGAGGAGGAAAGGCGAGGAGGAGCACGAGAAGGGGGAAAGTCGGGGGTGACAAGACGGGGGGGGGGGGGGATCGCCGTGGCTTTGCCTGCTGCCCCGAGCGCCGTCGATCCCGGGGCGGTGGGCCCGATCCTGGCCACCTTCGACCTGAGGCTAGTTCCGCTCATGGACGAGGCCGCGCCGAAGGCGGGCTCGACGCTGCGGGGGGAGACGACCATCTGGCCGACGGCGGGGGTCTCAGAAGATGTTGCCATCCCGCCCTCCTCCTCCTCCTCCTCCTCCTCCTCCTCTTTCTTTCAATCCTCCTATTCCTCCTGTTCTTCCTCCTAATCATCCTATTCCTCATGTTCTTCCTCCTAATCCTCAAATTTCTCCTATTCCTCCTCCTCCTCTTCCTCCTCTTCCTCTCCCTCCTCCTCCTTCCTCCGCTTCCTCCCTTTCATTCGTGTCGAAAATGGGATCTGACCTGGGGTGCGTTCTGGCAATGATTTCGAAGCAGATGGAGACGCCTCGCTGGGACCCGTAACAAGGACGAACGACGCGAAACAACCGTGGCGAACACGAACCAGGCCCCCCCTCCCCACTCCGGCACTCCGAGTCTCCCGCTCCAGTCCTCCTCGATGCCATGAGGGGAAGTGGGCTCCGAGGGAGAGGCGGCCCCTGGACCCCCTTGGGCTTTTCCCCTGGATCAGCGTTGCAGCCTGCGCTGTTTCTGTTGACGGGCCGAGGGTCCTCACACCGTACAGCCAACTCGTACAACAAGGACGCACGATAAGGATGCAAGGGCCGTTGGAAGCCGACGCCGATGAGGATGCAAGGGCCGTTGGAAGTCGACGCCGACACTTGCTCCGCATTCTTCACGCCCCACAGCAGCCCTGTATTGCTCCGGGGAGGGACCCCGATGGGGCCTAACAAGCTGAACAAGCCACAACTCACGTCCCCTTCCCCTCAAGCCCCCTTATGTGCGTGGTGGCTCCTCTTCCTGGCGCGCCCGATCTGGGGACGAGTAGAACGGGGAGGATGCCCAACAGCACACGCCATGCTCAACGCTGACAGCGACCGCTGGACCACGTTCGCGGCGGCTCCGATAGCAAGTCGTTTTCGAAATTGACAGGAGCTGCGATTGATCTTCGCCACCGTTCTTTCCGTCCACATGTCCAGCGAACCGAATCGGAAGGCGGCAGAAGTAAAACGAAGTCGCCTCTGCCAGCGGAAGGCCAGCGGTATAAAACATGCGCCCCCAACAGATGGAAGCGTTCTTGGGTTCAGGCTCTCTGGAATCGGCCATGTGTTTACCAGCCTCGAACGCATCCCTATCCCTAAGACTGACACGCCAAAAGGCGATTACAATCTTAGGGACTCGCCCTCAACACATAAGGGAATTCCCAAGATTGGCATCGTGATGAGGAGGTGCCCAGCATAGGGATGGGGATATGTTCCAGGCTGGCCATGTGTCTCCAGCTCTCTCGCCAGGGCCACGCACGCCACGCGGCACCCAGCTTCCAGATGCGCAGGGCCGCCCAGCCTCGCGCTCCGCGACCAGCGCCTCCACCTCCGCCCCCCTCCATCCTCCAGGGCCAGCCTCGTGACACTGGCCATCGCCGGGACGTCCATTGACTGTGTTTTTGTCGGTTTCGTGCGTGTTTTTTCGCCAAATGATCAAGGATGCTCCTCGATGGCCCTCGCTGAGAAAAAATGCACACGTCCGAGCGATGCCAGGTGACACCGCGCCTCGCCCCCATCCTTCTCCGAGGAGCCCACTAGCTTCGCGCCCTGCGCCGCGCGAGGCGCGTGTATCCGCGCTCTCGCGCTGCCCCTAAAACACCCAGAACGCGATGTGCGGTTGCCTTCGCGAGCCCAGCGGGGGATCCGGCATCCTCCCGCTAGCCCCCTCATGCTGCCGGGTCTCTGGAACGCTCTGAGAGCGCCATGGAACGTTCTGCCCCGATGCCATCCTGGCCTAGGCCTGTCCTCCTCCTCTTCCTCCTCTTCCTCCTTCACTTATTTCTCCTCCTCCTCCTCCTTCACTTATTCCTCCTCCTCCTTCTCCTCCTCCTCCTCCTCCGACACCAAGCGAAACGGTACATCTTCTGTGTTCCCCCGATGTAGCTCCCGGGGCCGGGCGTGATCCCCGACGTGGAGGTGTTCGGGTTCAGCGTGCGCTCCTGCAGGCTGTTGAAGGGGTACGAGGCCTGCCCAGGCCCGCCAGAGGAGCACCGCCCGGGGGCCACGGCGTGCCCCTCGTCTCCCCCCTCCCCCTCCCCCTCCGTCTCCCTCCCCCTCCCTCTCCCTATCCCTCCTCCCCCTCCCCCTCCTCTCCCTCTCCGTATCCCTCCCTCCCCCCTCCCCCCTCCCTCTCCCCCCCTCTCCCACGTCTCCCCCCCCCCCACCCCCTCCCCCCTCCCTCTCCCACCCTGCGAGGTGTGCTGGCTGGGGGCGAGCAGGTGGGTCCCTCCCGCCCCTGCGTCTCTCCGCGGAGGGGGCCTGGGGCGAGGAGCGGGAAGGGGGGGGGGCCTCGCCCTGCTCCCCGATCCCCCCAACAGCGACGACGGGCATGCCTCCGTCCGCCCTCTGCTCAGCCCCTGCTCCTGGACTCCGAGGTGCTGCCCCCCCACCCCTCTTCCAGACCACCCCAACCCAACCCGAAGACCCGAATTTCGGGTTGGGGGGGGATGGGTTCCGTGTGTGTGTGTGTGTGTGTGTGTGTGTGTGTGTGTGTGTGTGTGTGTGTGTGTGTTTTCGATGTCCCCGGATCCCCCCCCACTGAAAATGGAGGGCAAATTGAGGCCTTCGGGTTGGGTTGGGGAGGCTTGGTGGGTGGTGACTCACCTCCTTGGAGGAGCGGTGCGGGGGGCGGGAGGCGGCAGGAGGAAGGAAGGAGGAGGACCAGCAGGAACCCGAGATGCACCAACGAGGCTGCCATAGACCCTTCCGTCCCAAGTCCTCTGCTCGCAAGTCCCTGCGAGTTTCCGCGGAACTGTTTGCTGGCTTTTGTATAAAAAGACGACGCTGCGCGGCGCCCAACCGAGAACACCATCTTGAACACGAGCCATGCCCCATCTGTGCAGGTGCTGCGAGATCAAGCGCTGTGAAGAAGTCGCGGGTTTCAACCGTCAGACCCGCCCGAACGGCACGCCTCTTATCCATAAGGAGAGCGGGTGGAGGGACACGGCGGCGACGCCCGACGACGAGAAGCTGAAAGGGAAACGGCGGCGACGACCGACGACGACGAAGGAAAGCGGGTGGAGGGAACCGGCGGCGACGACCGACGACGACGAAGGAGGAGGGTGGAAATAGAAGAAGGGGGGCGAGGGAGGGGTGAGAAAGCGGGGGGGGGAGAGGGAATGAGAGGCAGGACGAGGACAAGAAGGATACGGACAGGGGGAGGTGAAGGAGGGAGCCGAGGCAAGAGCAGTGGGAGTAGCACGAATGGTACTGGTGATGACGAATTAGAGGCATGATGGTGTACATGCTGAGGAAGATTAGAGGGAGAGGAGAGGGAGGTGGAGGCGGAGGGATGACATGAGGTCAAGAAGTTGCTGGAATATGGTCATGCGAGATGTACGCATGTGCTGTTTCTGAGAAGAAGCATCCGAAACGAACTTCCCTTACAATATTTGCTGTTGTCACACTTTAGTGGCATGGGCTCGATTCCTCGTTGTTGCTAATCGATCCGCGTATTCATTGTTCTTATACAAGCTAGGTGTGCGCACTCGTGTCATGTCCTCGATTTGTACATGGTCTACATCGTCTCCGATGCGTATTCTCTTTTTCAATGCACAAAGGCGGTACTCCCAACAAAAACGGGTCTTGAGTAACAAGTCCGCGGAGCGGGCTCAGGGAACAAAATGCCAGCCTTGAGTAACCTGATGGCACGAAATTCGGCACGCAAATGCGAGCGGAAGTGGACGAGGAGGACGAGGAGGAGGAGCCTCCGATGTGTATTGTTGTAATCCTCCCCTTCCTCTGCCAGAGGCCCAAGGCGGCGACCGCGGTGCCAGCCATGACGGAAGGAGAGGACATGCTGTACTGCCCCCTCGTCGTTCGCGCGCGCGTCTACGACAACGACGACGACCGACGACCGACGACGACGACGACGGTAACGACGACCGGCGACCGACGACGACGACGGCGACGAGACGAATGGGACCCCTTGGACTTGAATGCCCGAGGCGCACCGGCGTCTTCTCCTCAGCCTCCTCCCCGTGAACTGTTTGAGTTGCTGGTATGAGAGTATGTATCTCTAGATGCACTCTTTACATCTACACGTACCCTTAGTACCATAAGAACAAGGTAAATCAAATTTTAAACTATGTCTCGATAGATTTGGATCTATCAGTTGCTCATATATTCGGTTGTCAAAACATGTGTTGAACAAGCAGCTCCCGAATCACTCAGGAGGAGTGGGAGGTGTAGGAGAAGCAAGAAGAGAAGCAAGAGGAGGAGGAGGAGGAGGAGGAGAAGGAGAAGAAGGAGGAGAGGGGGGAGGAGGAGGCAACGACGAATACGGAAGGGGGAAGGAGGTAAAAGGCAAAGGGAACATATAGAAGAGCGGAAAGAGGGATGAGAGGAGGGGCGATGGGGGGAGGGATTGGAATGGGGAGGAGGATGGAGGAAAATGGGGATGTGCCTTGGACTCGGGTATGAAACGCGCCTCTACGAGGAGGGATGGTGAGAAAGGAACATGGACGGAAAACGACGAGGCGGCCGGTAACAAACCTGGGACTGTTCGTAACCCCATGGCCTGGCGATTGCCCCCCTGGATCGACGTCGTGCTGTCCGAATGGTAGGAGCCTGCGGGGCTCCGAAGACGACACATTATCCCTCCCCCCTCATCCTCCTCCCCTTCCAGCTGCACCTTCATCCTCCGCAACTCCTTCTCAACAACTCCTCCTCCTCCTCCTCCTCCTCCTCCTCCTCCTCCTGCTCCTCCTCCTCCTTCATCTCGTTCATCTTCTCATCCTCATCTTCCTCCTCCTGCTCCTTCTCGTCTCGCCTCCTCCTCGTCCTCCTCCTCCTCCTCCTCCGTCTCCACATCTTCCTCTTTCCCCTTCACCTCATCCTTACCCCCCTGCTGGCAATACTCCTCCTTGCGCTTCGTTGAGACCTCTATTTGACATCGTGTTGGGGCAATTGCAAAAGCTACCGTCAAACAGGCGAGTTGAACAGTGCCAATACAATTTCTATTGCCAAGCCCGCGTACGGTCACGGACTGGCG